GATTTGATTCTCAATTAAGTGAATATTGTTCTCTGTTGAACTCATTAAGTTTGTATCCTTATTGATAAGACTAAATTTTTTGCTGTGAAATGTTGGATTGATTAAGGAATTAAAAAGGAAATCTAAAACCTACCCACAGATTGATTTATATGGATTTTGTTCTCAATTAAGTGAATATTCTGTGCTGTTGAACTCATAAGTTTGTATCCCTACTTATGCAGGCTTGATAAGACTAAATTTTATGTGGTTGGAGCTGGCTTGTTTACAGGGGTCACAGTGGCACTGTACCCGGTTTCTGTTGTGAAAACCAGGCTTCAAGTTGCTTCCAAAGATGCTCTAGAGAGGGATACATTTTCTGTGGTTAGAGGCATTTTGAAAGCGGATGGTATTCCTGGTTTGTACAGAGGTTTTGGCACAGTAATCACTGGTGCAATTCCTGCTAGGATTATATTTCTCACTGCTTTGGAGACCACCAAGGTGGCTGCTTTCAAGATGGTTGAGCCCTTCAAGTTATCTGAGCCTACAGAGGCAGCTTTGGCTAATGGACTAGCTGGGATGACCGCCTCACTTTTCTCTCAGGCTGTGTTTGTCCCTATTGATGTGGTAAATACCTTTACAGGCTCCATCACTTGTCTTGCTTGAGCATTTTTGTAGTTAGGGGTTTGAGATAACTAATTTTTGAGTAATGGGTTTTCTTTAGATTAGTCAAAGATTGATGGTGCAAGGGTATTCGGGCCATGCAAAGTACAGCGGGGGGATGGATGTTGCACGTAAGGTTATAAAGTCAGATGGCATCCGGGGACTGTATAGAGGGTTTGGACTTTCTGTTATGACTTACTCTCCATCTAGCGCTGTATGGTGGGCTAGTTATGGTTCAAGCCAGCGCTTAATCTGGAGGTGAGACATGGTAATCTGTTATCTTTTGACTCTAGTTCTGTTGATGGAGCTCTTTTATTCTAAGACTAGGCCAAGTAGGTGTCAGTAAATTTAGATCTTTTAAATGAGTGTCAGCAATATGTAATTGAGATTTTCTGTTGGACATTCTATTTTTACCTTAAGCAGAAATCTTCATTTAATGGTTTAATGATATGAGTTTCTTTGCCCTGTGACCATGACAAACACATTAAAACTTTGGAGGTGCATCAGTTTGATGGTTGTTTTAGGTGGTTTCCAGTTGAATGCGTTAGTGGAACATGATAATTATGTTGGAAAAAGTAGGAAGTACGAGTTGTTGGAAGTAATCATCAGTTACTATGACTTTGTTGGTTGTTAGGCTTTATTCTTAGATAAATGATCCGGTTGTATAGGAAGTCTAAAGTTCATTAAGCCAATGAACTTCTATAATTACTACTACTAAGGGCAATGGACTTCATTCCCTTTAGATAAAGAACTAAGGTGAAGGAGTTCAGGTGAATCATACCCTTTTGTCAAAATATCTCACTATTGCATTATTCTGGTTCATTAAGCAGTTTCTTAGGCCATGGAAGTGGTTCTGATGAAGCTGTTCCTGGCGTGGGGAAAATAGTGTTGGTTCAAGCTGCTGGAGGAATTGTTGCAGGTGCAACAGCATCCTGCATAACAACCCCATTGGATACCATAAAGACTCGGTTACAGGTATTCATATAACCAATTAATGTATGTGGTTATTTTGCTAGCTTGTAGCTTGCTTATCTTCATTTGACCAAGTTATTACTAATTTGGGTGTGAGTGTTTTTTTTTTTTTTTGGTGGTAATAATTATTCGTGCACTATAGGTGATGGGACACGAAAAGAGACCCACTGCAAGAGAAGTTGTTAAGGGCTTGATAAGAGATGATGGCTGGAAAGGTTTCTACAGAGGGCTAGGTCCAAGATTTTTCAGCATGTCAGCCTGGGGCACGTCAATGATATTGGCTTATGAATATCTGAGTATGGACTCTTACCTTTTATGCTTCCTTATCATATATTTTGGGTTTTTTCATGATCTTTCTTTCACATCATGTTTTCCTTACCTAAGATTCAACTTCTAGGCTCAAGTTTCTTTAAAAGTCATATATAACACTCTGTGAAGGGAGAACACTTATGCAATCTATATATTCAGGAATGATGAATTCCTCCTATTTGGCTTCTTCTTCTTCATTTTTTCCCTTCTTGAAAAGTCCTGCTATGTGGTTTCTCATGATACTTGCAAAAACCCAAAATTTGAAAATTGATTTCTATTGTTGTTTCCTTGTGTACTTTCAGAGCGCTTGTGTGCAAAAGATGAATAGAGGTAATTCTTCTTTCGGTCCACTTAGCATGGAATGACAGGAATTTTGTTCTGACGTGGGCTGGTATTGAGCATTTCTGATGAAGGCTTTAGACTGGTAAATTCAGAATTGGGATTATGGAAGTTTTGATCGGGCGATTGGTCCTGATATTATTTGATGCTTTACTTACTAAATTTTGGAGAAGTCCTCAAATTCTTTTAGGAATTTCTCTACTAGATAGTAGTGATATCATTCTTCGGGTAATTGAATTTATTTGAGCTGTAGGAAGTGCCAATTTTTTCTTCTATAGCAAGTGTATCTTCACCCCGAGCAAGGAATTTGAACTTATTAACACAGTTCTTTTTATAATTTTTTTTTTTGGCTATATTGTCTCCTTTAGGTGTAATTCTCAATAATTTAGAACACCAAATTCATTCACCAGAAATGATTGTAATTGTAAATGTACTTTTTTATAATTGAAATGTTTGATCCCTGAAATTATTGATGATTGTTACGTGTTAAACTAGTTATGGAGTAAATCAAAAGATATAATGAACTTCATCAAAAAAGATATAATGAACTTAAAACTTAGGCTGGACCATGGTGTGGCAAAATAGTAGTTTCCACTTCCCATGGTGAAATTGACACCAAAGCTTTCAACAAATCCGCACTTGGTTTGTTAAAAAACTTAGCAGAATCATTTGCAACGAGTGCAGTAGAATTATGTACTTCAGATTCATCATCATTGGCAAATTTACTTTAGATGGATGTGCATATTGAGCTTTTTATGAATTTTGTGAGAGAAAAAACCCAAAGATACCAAAAGGATTATAGAACTTTATAAAGTAGTGAGGGTGAATTTACACCAATACATGGATGAAAATCACCTCAAGATACCATTTACATCTAGTGGCTTCAAATTCTTGGTCTTGGTTTTCTTATACTCTGACTGGTTTCTCCAATACAGCTGAGAAGAAGAGCTCATCTCCAAGCTTATCAGTCTTAGGTACAACCCTCCATAGTAATGGCTTGTAGCCTAACCTGTTAAACTCATCCAAATACAACTTCATGTCCTCCATATGACAGAAGAAGCGGTCTATCCAAAGAAGACCCTTTGGCCGAAGGACACGGTCCCAATCAAACAACACAAACTGAAGGAGTTCAATTCCTATCCAGCCATCCAAGAACGAAGTAGAGTGGATCATGTCAAGGGTGTTGTCAAAGAAAGGCAATCTTGAGCCAATTGATGTGTAAAGAGGAAGAAGGCCTCTTAAGGCAATGACCTCATTGAAAGGAGCCCCTAAGTTTAAGGTACTAGAAGCAATGGTAACATTCTTTTCCCTCATGATAGAAGCAAATGTTCCTGTTGTCGGGCTAAAATCTAGGCCGATTCTTATCTCCTCCGGCTTTAACCCTAGAAATTCATCAATGGTGAACTCTGCTGATTCAGACTTGTTTGTTGGAGTATCCCACCCTTTTTTTGAAAGGTTGAAGCAGTCTGAGCATTTGAAGAAGCCTCTTCGGTCCTTGGTTTCTTTGGAGACAAGGCAAGAGTAGTCTTTGCACTTGTAATTGTTCCATAAGATGTTAGCACCACTAGGTTGAGTCCAAAGGGAGGAGTTTATAGGAAATGGCTTGGTGTAGTGTGGAGGTGATTTTGTGAAGCATCTTCTTCTTGGTAATGGATCACATCCATGAACTATAAGCTTCTGAGCTATTTCCCAATCATCCGGGCATGTACTGTGAACCTTGTAACTCATAAACCGGTCTAAATTGGTGGCCATATTGGCACAAGCCAACCCAATTGATGGAGTTACTGCTTCTACCCCAAGAAAATTCTTCTTCCCAATTAGCCTGTTTTGTTTTGGTGAAGTGTAATTGTGAATCTCACCTGAACTGAAGACCTTCCCACCCATAAACTGTTCTTCAGCTTCCTCGGAATCACTGAAATCTTCATCGACATTGCTCATCTCAGCTTTAGCAGGGGGAGAATTCCTGTAGAGCCTTGATAAGCTGTCTGCAAGTTTGTCCAGAGAAATGGCAATGTGAAGCACCTGATCCGAAAATTTCGCAATTGCTTTTGAGTCTGAACTTTCATTATGCAGCTGCTCCAGTAAAACCCCCAGTTGGATCTGCAAACGAGAGATATCTCCGTGCAGGGAATGAGGCAAAACAATTTGGTCATGGGAGGTATTGGCAAAAGTAGCAAAAATGGATTGTGGATATGAAACATTGAAGCCAAAAATGAAAACTGTGAGGGGGCTGACAAGGAGAATAGCACATAACATTGCGGCAAGAAGGCATCTGACTGGCTTAGAGGAGCTTTCCTTCTGCATTTCTAAGATGGGTTATTTCTCTTCCTTAAACACTTCTTCTGGGGAAAACAACCATTTGAACTGTTCATTCAATCTTTCAAGCTGTTGACTGGAAGAGTGAAGTTGGATCTAATTCTCTTAATTTTCTATTGCGTTTTCAATAATCCCTAGGTGCAAGGTACCATACTTTATAGTCAGTTACCTTTGAACCTAAGTCACCCCTCATAGCAAACCATCTTGATCTATGATAATATTAAACTAAATTTTTTGCCAACTTTCACATAAGTTTTCCCCATGCAGAGCATTTTGTACACAATTCTGCCAAAATTTGAAGTTTTTTTTATATATTAAGTGAAATAAATTGAGATAATCTTTGGTTTTATTCACTAATACACAGACTGAATAGGGGTAATGGCCAGATTAGGTGGAATTAGCATTTGATTTCTCAACTATAGAACTTGGAAGAACAAGAGCGCTTTATAACAGTTTCTCATATGGAACTCAATTAACACAAACTCAAACGACATTTGAGGGTTCCTGTGCATAAAGCACTTGTACAAAAACGAAGAATCAACGGCTATAAGAAAGAAAGAAAGAAGAAGAAAACAAGAAAGATGTTGATCGTTTAAACTCTTCAAGACCACCTTCATAGGGGTTGAAGATGGCTGACTTCCACTTCCAGAGTAACGGAAATATCTTTGTCCAAAATTGCGACTGAGAGTACAAAGAGATGCCTCAAAACTGCCCGAAACAAAGACAACAAATCAGTGTCCGTAACTTATCATCATCATTGTTTGTAAGTTGTAAATGTAAGAGTCCACACAGCAAAAGCTATTGAAATACTACCTCCATTAATTACAAACACGGTCCTCATCTTCTTCTTCTTCACCTTCTTCATCATCATCATTATCATCTCTGCTTGCCTCTGCATATTCTTCGAGTGATGCAGAGGGGAACAAATCCCCAGCCTTGTCATCTTTGTCGGTTGCCGCTTTCGCTAAACCAGTAGCTTTGCCTGCGTTCATCTGTTTCAGTACAATTTGAGCTTACAAATTAAGCAACTTTATTCATAGACAATATAAGAAGCTCAAAAAAACAAATGGGTTTCCATTAGAGAACATACCGCACGTATCAGAGTCCTCCTATCTCTTTCTCGAGCATTTTTTATGGCCTGCACATTATAAGTTGATAAAACAAAACAAACCCATCAATCCCATTAGCCCATTTTGTAATACAAACGCAATTGGAGAATTAAAAATGAAAAATAAAAACAAACCTCCTGAAGCTTTTTTTGCTCAGCTTCCACTTCCGAAGGGTCTTTTCCAACGATGCGTTCGACACGGCAACAGCACTTTGCACAAACACCTTGTTCCTTGGCACAAGCAGAACAGAGTTTATGGTGAGACTGACGAACGGCGCGCTTGGTACAACGTTGGCACTTGGTTGGCTCCGTTAGGGTCTTGTACTTGCCGTAGCGGCGTTTCCATTCGATCTGATCCTTACAGCGAGGGCAAACCCCCGTTATCTCCGACAGCGGCCTGAACCGGCCACCGACCTCCGTTTCGTTGATTTTGACGCCCAGGTTCGGCTTCCATGCGAATTTGTTTTGGTGCCTACCGTTCATCATAATTCCTTACACGTCTCAGAGCAAATACAGCTTACGATTTTGAAAATGCAAAGCAAAAGCAATCAACTGTGCTTTGGGAGTTGCAGAAATTCAATTCATTTGCCCAAACCAAAAGAAAGAGAAGAAACTCTAGGGTTTTAGCGAAGGCAGTGAAGACTAACCCGATTTAAAATTTGGGTTTCCTGACCCGAATTCGATTTGGATATGGGCTGTCCTGAAAATGATTTGGGGTTTTGGTTTTGGGTCAATTTAGCTCTTGGGCACGTAGACATAAAGTAGCCCAACAAATTTTGGGTTGGATTTTGAAATTAAAGTCATGCTATTTTCACATGAGGAAATACCATCTTTGATCAAGAATAAAGGGCATCAACAGTAAAATTAAATGTTTGAAAAACATTAAAACATTGTGATTTAGAACCCAATTAGAGCATGGCATGTAGGATCTATGGCTGGGAGTACAAAGCTTGTATGCCGGCAATATCATCACTGTGCAAAGCTTGTCTTAGGAGACTTTCCTACTAGAGAAAGAATATAATTAACTACACAATATCTACTACTTCTGATTTGGAAAGTGAAGTGTGCATAGAGACTTCTGCAAACGACTGAATTCGTCAACTCCACTGCCCTGCTGGCAGCTGCTACTGTTCTTGATCGAGAATCTTTAATTTAGAAAACATATGTAGACAAAAGTTCGACATGCAAGTCTTGGATCCATGCCTCCACTTCTGCTCAAGAAATTCAATAATATCACAACTCAAAGTTGAAGACAAAGCTGATTTAATCATCAGAAAGATTGGGCCCTGTTGCATGGTTGAAATAGTCTTATGTTATACAGGGCAAGTGCTTAAAACATGAGAATTCCTTCAAAATCAGGAATTCAATTCCTAATTTTGTGTGAGTTTCACTTACTTTTTAATTCCTTAATATGAAGTAAATGTAAGAATCTTCCATATGTGGAAATTAATTCCTCATGAAAATTTCAATTTCTGATTAGTAAACACACCATCAATCCAAAAGAAATCGCAATGGTGTTTTCAGAAATAGTTTTTCAATTTAAAGAAAAAGAAAAAACTTTGGAAAATAGCAGAAGATGACAAACTTCTTTTGCATTTCCAAGCAATTTCTTCACTCACTTTTTTTTTCCCCAAAAAATATTTGTATGTCGTTGATAAAATGAAATCTTCACTTACCCAATTGACATGACAACCAAACCCTTAGATATGGGCGCGAAGTACAAGATCATTCACCGCGACGTGAAGAGCACAAACATCTTATTCGACGAGAAATCGGTGGCTAAGGTTTCGGATTTCGGGCTTTCGAAAATGGGCTCCACAACCGTGTCCAAAACCCATATCAACATGGTGGTGAAGGGTAGTTTCAAGTATTTTGACCCAGAATACTATTGTCATCAACAGCTGACAGAGAAGATGCAAATGACTTTGATCCGTAAGGTGGAGAAGATGCAAATGAGCTTGGCTGAGTGGACCAAAATCTGTCATCGGAATGGGAAAATTGATCAGATCATTGATCCGAGCTTGAGGGGTAAGATTGGAAATGCTTGTTTGAATAAGTATGTTGAGATCGCAGTGAGCGACCTCCAAGATAATGGGACTGAACGGTCTTCGATGAACGATGTGGTGTGGGGGCTTGAGTTTGCATTGCAGCTTCATCAACAAGGCAAATGAGGAGATTTGAATTTGAGCGAGGAGAAGAAGGGTGAAGATGAGGTGTCGTTAGTGAATGCTGCAAGTGATGCAAGGTTTAGTTGTAGCTAGGAAGACTCGTCATTGGAGTTGAAGTTTAGTAAGGTGACCAAGAGTCTTAGTGATCACAATTCTTCAACCAACGAGTCCATGAAAGCAATGTCTGGGACAGTCTTCTCTAAGATTAACGATCCCAATGAAAGATGATTGCCCAACAATTTTTAATGGAATTCATATATATGTATTGCAACTCAATTTGTAACTTTGTTGTATCTTAAATTCCATGAAATTAAACTTTGGTGTTTTTCTTTTTTAAAAAATTTATACAAAATAAAATATTAATGTATTCGTATGGTAGTATTGTGACATTATATAAAGTGAGGATCGTTATTAACAAATAAAATAATATAAGTTTGATAAGCGCAGTCTTGTCTTCTGGCCCTAGTCATCTGAGGCTGATAGAATCAGCTGGTCGCGGACTTTTCTACTAATCAAGACAACAGGAGGGTACAATTATTACAATTCCCAATTTGTTGTTATATCTCAAGCTCCACCAGAGAAACTTCCCAACCTTTTCACCTTATATCTCTGAGTCTCTCTACCCACATCGTTAATGACGAGATATGGAAAGGGCAGAGAGTGGGGATCACATATGTTGTAGTCAATTTGGATAAACTCACGTCTGCAGTGCATTATCTCTTTAGCAAAGTGCTTTTGCACTCCACAACTTCCAACCATTGCAAATTGGTTGTGGGGTTGGAATTTTGAACCAATTAGTAATGGGGGATAGTGACCCAACCCCTTATAAGCCTTTACGAAATTGTTCAATTTTCTGATATAAGGTAATTCTTATCCTCACACGATGCTACATGTGTGGTGAATTGGAGTGGGGAAGAGAGGCTGCCGCCAATGGGGCGAATGGCTGCTAGGGATTTAATTGCTTCTGGCAAGTAGATCAATTTGAACAAAATCAGCATTTGTTATATAGTTGAATATGAATTGAACTTTTTTTTTTTTTTTTTTTTTTATGTCCTTTGAATAAATATATGATTAATTATATTTTGCAACGCACTAGTTTGGATTTCAAATTCTCAACCATTATGTGCAATTTCGTAGACTAACTTATTCTTATCAACTATAACTTGCGATTTTAGGTCAACAAAAATAAAAGTTTGAAATGAATGCATCAATTGGGGTTATTTCCAAGTATATATATGGGAATACTATCCTTGTGGATTCGTATGCAAAAGCTTTTCTGTTTCTTTGTCATACACAAGTGCTTAATTTGTACTTTGCAAACAGATTAATTTGGACAATATCATGCCTCAAGAATACTAACTAGGCACATTTTGGATGGGGGCGTGCTTGAAAATAAGACAACGTGTGCATTACAGTCCCCAGTCTGTTCTCTTATTATCTTTTGCAATTTGTAATCCAAAGACTTGTTAATTGTTCCAAGTCCACGGCCAACCCAAAAAAGAAGTTTAAGTTGTTATCGAAGTCTTTATTAAATTGACTGATGTTGATCAAGAATCTTGAATTTAGAGTAGATGCAATCAAAAGCTTAACTTGGAAAAGTCTTTGATGATCATATGTGTATGTCCCCACTTGTGCAATAGAAATTCCAATCAGAGATCTACACACCCACACATTACATATCTTTACTCTCCATATATATTCCTCTTATATCGAGAGATCTCTCAAATAATTTTATTTGAGGGACACCTTTTAGGATCTCACACAAATTTTTTTCCAACGATCTAAACCATTTATTTTTTAAGTCTACATTCATAGATCATCATTGCAAAAAATTAGACAAATCGGAAACCATTTCAACATCCAATTGTGTCATACAAAATCAATGAACACGATACTTTAAGAAAGTACTAAAATTCAATAATTTAGTTAATATCGGATTCAAGTGATTTTTTGTAAAAATGATCTTTGAATGAATATTTACAAAATAAACAATTTGAATGAATGAAATACAATATGGAATGGGATGTAATAACCCAAGCATCAAACAAACGCCTTGATACAATTACCATGTTGTTGTCTCAAGCTCCACCAGAGAAACTTCCCAACCTTTTCACATTTCTATCTCGAGTCTCTCTACCCACGTCATTGATGACGAGATATGAAAAGGGCAGCAGCAGTTACACAAATTTTTCGTGCACAAGACAAGACTTTCTATATCTTGACTGATATGTTGATCCAAAATAATTCGAAGTACGTGGAGAGCCACCCCCACCCGCCTAATAATAATTCTTCGATTGAATAGAACCCAACCCAACCAGCTTGCTATAAAGCAGAGCAGCAGCCTTCCCACTTCATGCACCACCAACACAACACACCTGAAACTACCCTGTCTTTCTTACCATGAAGAAGAACGTCCCAATTCTTACTACTCAACTTTACCTTTCCTTGTTTCTCCACATTATCACCTCCCTACTCGTGGCGGCTAGAGATTCGCCACCTATCTACACTCCGGTGGAAGATATCACGGTTAAATGTGGCTATTCCGGCAACTTATTAAATGAATATGATGAACGATATTGGCACGGAGATATCAACTCAAACTTTTCCCCCGCAACTGGCAATGACACATCCATATTCAGAGAAGCACCTCATTCGTACACCGTCCACCAAGTGTCTTACACCACAGCGCGCCTTTCGCGCTCTGAATTTACTTACAGTTTTAAACTCACTTCCGGCCAAAAGTTCATCCGCTTGTATTTCAACCCAGTTTCATATGGTCCTGACTTTGACAGATCCAAAGCCCTCTTCTCAGTCAAAGCCAGTGGCTTTACCCTTCTCCACGACTTCAACACTTCAGTCACTGCCGATGCGTACGGAACAGAGAAGATATACAGAGAGTTCTGTCTCAACATGGAGTCATCAGAACAGAGCTTGAACATCACCTTCACTCCGAGTCCGAGCCTAGCAAGCCCAGATGCGTATGCGTTTATCAACGGCATTGAAATTGTATCCATGCCCACCAATCTTTACTTCACTGCAGCCCAAAGCTCTGGGGTAGGACTCGTAGGAAAAAACTTCAATTTTCACATCGAAAACAACTCTGCTCTGGAGACGGTGCACCGAATAAACGTTGGTGGAAAGTCATTATTTTTCAGTGAAGACACCGGCATGTACCGAAACTGGGATGGCGAGCAAGAAGAGCCCAAGTACTTAGACGATTTAAGCATTGAGTTTAGTGTTTTACCACAAAACACTAGTATTGAACTCGACTTTGCCGGAATGGTAAAGTACTCTGCTCCAAAAGAAGTTTATCAAACGGGCCGGTCTATGGGCATGAACAAGACCATAAAAAGCGTTGCCGCCAAGTCCAGAGAGAACCAACACCGAGTTAACGTGGAATCCTATGCTTGCCATTATCGCTGGTGTAGTTTCCACCGTCACAATTGTAATGTTTCTTGGGTTAATCTTGGTTTTCAGGCAACAACAGAAACTCAAAGACTCCTCGTGCTCCAGCAACAGAACAACCAACTCATCTTTACCGTCCGCTTTGTGTCACTACTTTTCCCTGGAGGAGATTAAAGCCGCCACCCGAAACTTCAGCGATATTTGTATTATTGGGCGCGGCGGGTTTGGCAATGTGTATAAAGGGTACATCGATGGTAGGGCTACTCCCGTTGCAATCAAACGGCTGAAACCCGGGTCCTCGCAAGGGGCCCACGAGTTCAAGACAGAGATCGAGATGCTCTCCCAATTACGCCACCGTCATTTGGTGTCGTTGATTGGATATTGTGTGGATGAAAGTGAGATGATCTTAGTGTATGATTTCATGGACCGTGGGACCCTTAGTGACCATCTCTACCACAAAGATAACCCATCTCTTCTCTGGGAGCAACGGCTTGAGATCTGTATCGGGGCGGCGCGTGGACTGCATTACCTTCACACGGGAGCAATGTGCACAATCATTCACCGTGACGTGAAGAGCACCAACATCTTGTTGGACGAGAAATGGATCGCTAAGGTTTCTGATTTTGGGTTGTCAAAAATGGGCGCCACCACCATGTCTAACGCCTACATAAGCACTGTGGTGAAGGGTAGTTTTGGCTATCTAGACCCGGAATACTATCGTCGTCAGCAGCTGAGTGTGAAGTCTGACGTGTACTCCTTCGGTGTAGTATTGTGTGAGGTATTGTGTGGAAGGCCAGCGGTTGTGCGTATGGTAGAGAGGAGGCAGATGAGCCTGGCTGAATGGGCCAAGACTTGTCATCGCAATGGGACACTTAATGAAATCATTGACCCTTGCTTGAAGGGCAAGGTTGCGGGCCTTTGCTTTAATAAATTCGTTAAGATTGCGATGAGTTGCATGCATGATAATGGGATTGAACGACCGTCGATGGCTGACGTTGTGAGAGAGCTTGAATTTGCTTTGAAGCTTCAACAGAGTGCAGACGACAATATGGACTTCAATATTGTTGAAAACAATATTTGTGAAGATGAGGTTGCCTTCATCAAAGACAAGGAAGGGTCTGGTAAAAGTGAGCAAAGTTGTGCGACCGACCAATCCATTAAATGGATTTCTGAGACAATCTTCTCTGAGATCAACAATCCAGATGGGAGATGATCTCGATGAGCAACAACATTTTTAATGAAATTTGAAGAATCTAGCCACAATTAATGGGAGATGATTAATGATCAACATCATTTTTAATGAAATGAGAACAATCTGGCTACAATGAGAGCCTCCCTAAAAACATAAATACGAAAGTGCTTTATCTCTTTGTTTTTCTTTTCTTTTTATACAGGCAATATTCTACTTTAATATAATCTAAACTACAAGTAGTGGCGGAGTCAAACCCCTTCTCAACTCTCTACTCTCTCTCTCTCTCTCTCTCTCTCTCTCTTGTTCTTCCCAGCCATTTCACTCTCCTTTTCTTTCCATCTTTCTTTGTGTAAATAATTTAATTGTGTGTATGATACAACAATTAGAACTTGATGTGTAAAATCTGTCATCTAAAAGCTTATTTCTTGATTTTTACTTTAGGGGATATTGAGAGGTCAAAAAATGATGCACGAGAAGTTCTACGAGAACTTGCAATGCTTATGCTCTCATTCCCTTTATTTTTATATTTTGCAACAGGGCCCCTCTAACATCAATTCTTGGCTCTGAAATTTGAACTTGGGTGTAGAGTGGAGAGTACATATGCTCTAGCTAACTTGGGTAGGCCCACATTTGCAGTGCGTTCTCTCTTTAGCAAATGCTTTTGCACTCCACAACTTTGAACTATTGAAAATTGGTTGTGGAATTTTGAACTAGTTGGTAATGGGAGCTAGTGACACAACCCACTATAATCCTTCACAAAATTGTTCACCTTTTCGATATAAGGTAATTCTTCATATCCTCACATGATGCTTCATGTGTGGTGAATTGGAGGAGGCTGCCCTAAAAATGATTTGGGGTTTTGGTTTTGGGTTGATTTGAGGCCATATGGACTAATTTCATGAGGTCAATTTGGCCCAAGGGCACGTAGACATAAAGTAGCCCAACAAATTTTGGGTTGGATTTTGAAATTAAAGTCAATGCTATTTTCACACGAGGCAATACCATCTTTGATTAGTCTATGATCAAGAACTGCATGCATAAAGGCATCAACAGTAAAATAAAAACATTGTGATGTAGAACCCAATAAGAGCGTGGCATGTAGGATCTATGATTGGGAGTACAAAGCTTGTATGCCGGCAATATCATCACTGTGCAAAGCCCTCTTAGTCTTTCCAGCATAAACGTAGGCATACATAATGGCATTTTTAACCGTCCTGTGTTGATTAGGCATCCACGTGTAGCCTTCCATTTGTGGGCCCAAAAGCATGGGCCGAAACCTTACCCGGCCCATCAAACGGGCTCCCGTCTCCATGATCACACCGTTGAAAACTGATCCTAATTAAGGTCAGCAGGTGGACCCCAGCCCCACCTCCTGAAATGTAAATATGGATACCTTGACCCACAATCCAAATGCATGGTTACGAGCCAGCGTCAAAGCCAACGGCCCAGATTTGGTTTGGGCTCCAGGCTCAAATTTGTAGGTGAGATGTTGCTTTGTGGGTGGCCATTTCAGATTTCCAGCAAAGGCAGCATAGTGTTTATTTGGAATATTTTGGGGAGTTTCACTAAAACACCCAAAATGGGAGCTGAAATTATAAAAAAATCTAACACCCCAAACACTTTATAAACACACCCAAAATCCATCATTACACACACTCAAAACCCATTTATAAACACACCCAAAAAATATACAATTGTTGACTTTGGGGTTGATTTTGAGTGTGTTTCTATGTTTAAATAGTGTTTGGGTTTTTTTATAAATACATGTCTAGAATTGGGTTTATTTATAAATTTGTATATTTTTAGGTCAGATTCTAAAAGCTCATCATATCCAACGGTTATATTTAAGTCTTCCAAACCGTCGTCGTTTAGATATCCAAAGCCCCTGAGTTAGCTTCTGAGCCTGAGTTATCCAAAGGCCCCATTGCCTGTCCCTCTCCACCCCTTTGAATTGACTGAACTATAAAAGCATGAATTGCTAGAAGGGAAAATAAAACTCTCACATCACAGGATTGAAAAGAAAGTTTGTCGCCATCTCTGCCTAGTTGGCCCTCTGAAAATTCAACACTCAAAAAAAGAATATTTCCCTGCTCCTGTCGTTTAATTATTGATACTACTGTCTTAGGAGAGTACATGCATGCATGTATTGTACATCCCATTATTAATTGGAAAAAAAAAAAGTTATTGTGCATGAATAATATAAAATAAAATAAAATTTGTTATTGTTCATGATGTTAAAATTTCAGAGGAATGGACTCTTAGTCCACTATTAGTAAAATCGATATTGTCCTCAACTTAATCACCTGTTTAGCACGTGTGGGGTTTTATGCAAAAGGCTTCGATGTTATTTGTTGAGGCCTAAAAATCCAGGGTTGGGTCCAAATAAATTCTTGGCCCAACATAATGTCTTATTAAGAAAAAGACTCGGTTCGGAGCATGCAAAATTCCTCATTCATGCTTGCACAAGTCACGACCACATGACATGCCAAATAAATATGTGATCTCTCATGCTAAGAGTTGAAATAAGCACTAACTCTATGAGCCCATGCTAATTACCTCGTCAAGCATCATGCCTCTATTCAAGGACGATAAAATTAAAACACGCCGATTGACATGCCATGCTAAGCAGGAAATTATTATTTCACACCCAACCACGCTACAAGCTTAAGTAGGCCCAAGCCACGCAAATGCCCGGGGCTTACTTGAGTGGGTTGTGGTATGGATGGTAACAAACTTTCAGAAGGCCCATTGATGAGCCAAGAAATGGAAGTTTTGGGCTGTTTGGGAGCCCCAAAACTCAAGCCCATTTTTTTGAGCTCAAACACATGGGCTAGCATGAGAGAGAGAACATGACATAATGCCTTAGAGAATACATTAGTTTGCTTAGGAAACCCTATGTTAGTTAGAGCATCCAAATACTTTGTTAAAATGCAACAGGCAAGCTGCTTCCAGCAGCTTGACGAAAACCTGTCAAACATATAAGTAACAAGCTAAAGACCCAACACTGTACATACAAGCCCAGCCCAAAGCCTTATGAAAAACTGTCATCGTGCTCCACCTTTGATGAGATTCCAAACCAGTCAAACAAAGAGCCATGGCAGGAACCAACAGAAATCCATGAGTGTAGGAAGAATACCCATCGGACAAAAGCTCTACCCATCTTCTTTTCCCTTACCAGCTTCACTTGGAAAACCAAGGAGGAAAGCAAGCGGCGCCTCACCCTCATGAGGAGGTCCAGCTACGTCAAACCCTTGGAACCACAAAGGGTTCCTTACTCATGCTCCTTGGATGGGAGAATTTCACTAAGGAAGATAAAGTGGAGAGGAGCAATGAAAAGGAGAAGGAAAAGTTAGACGAAATTAGGATTCTTCAAGCCTATAAAAGAGAGCCTCAGCTACCCAGAAAATCATCCACAGCCTAACCCATCTAGAGCTTGACCAAGCTTTGTCAAGCAACTGGAAACTCACTCAATCCACAACTAGAGAGCAAGCTTCCTCTCATACTTGCAAAAACCAGCAATTTCGTGCACTGTTCATCTTCCTCCATTTTCTTCTTCTGACAAGCTGCCAAAAGAACATAGTTCTTCCATTTTCTCTTCCTAGCCACATATGCTTGAAAACCTCTTCTTCCTCACCTTAAACACTCCTTTTTCTCCCTAGGAAGCCATATTTCCTTTTTGGTGCTCAACTCATGCTAATTTTGCTCCCATGCCACAAGCCCCTCATGCTAAGCCATTAATCGATTTATCATGCTTATTTGATGTTAGTGAGATGAACCTAAGAGTGTTTTTCTAAAGTCTCATCAGATTTTATGAAAACCCTAAACCCGACTGTAATGGAGCAATATCTAGGCTCGAAGCAAGGACCCACAGCTTCACAAGTCCTCCAGAGAAATCCTAGAGTTAAGTCACTCTTCGACCAACTTGGTTTCGGGCCTCAAGCGAGGGAAGTAGCTGTTGTAGCCCTCATGAATATTTCTGCAGGAACCAACCCCCATTGCTTCACTGCTCAACCTCAAAGGTCATTCTTGGAAAATGACAATACAACAGAACATTTAACTTTACAAAATTTTATTACACTTGCCATTCATGAACCAGATAGCTTGCTTTTAATTCGTATTTTTACAAATAAAAAACACTTAATCATAATTTATATAAAAATGTCATGCATTTAGTAAGTTCTAGTTCGAAATTGATGAACATAAATTTTATCAAAACAATGCGATTTTGTTTTTGTTCTTTTATTAACGGAAGAGGACGCATTCAAACTTCTCGGCACGTAAAGAACAAGTTCCACTAAACTAGTCGCTAATTGATGAATGTGATTTTGATTAAAACTACGTTTACCAACTCATAGCTGGAGACCATTTAACGGGTTGTTTCCTAGTGGTGAATGAGACTTTTCTACTGAAGAAGGAATATATAATTAACTACACAATCTCCACTACTTGTTGTTTGGAAAGTGAAGAAGTATGCATGGAGACTTCAGCAAACGACTGAATTCGTCAAGTCCACTGCGCTGCTGGCAGCTGCTACTGTTTTTGATCGAGAATCTTTAATTTAAAAAACGTATGCAGACAAAAGTTTGGCATGCAAGTCTTGGATCCATGCCTCCACTTCTGCTCAAGAAATTCAATAATATCACAACTCAAAGTTGAAGACAAACCTGATTTAATCATCAGAAATTTTGGGCCCTGTTGCATGGTTGAATCAGTCTCATGTTACACAGGACAAGTGCTTAAAAACATGAGAATTCCTCCAAAATCAGTGAGTCTCATTTACTTTTTAATTCATTGATGTGAAGTAAACGCAAGAATCTTCAATAACTGAAATTCAATTTTTAATGAGAATTTTAATTCTTAATTAATAAACACATCAACAATTCAAAAGAAATTACAAGGGCGTTTTCATAAATAATTTTCCAATTTAGAGAAAAGGAAAAAACTTTGTAAAATAGCAGAAGATGACAAACTTCTTTATCATTTCCAAGCAATTTCTTCACTCACTTTTTTTTTTTCTTTCCCAAAAAGTGTATGTATCTCGTTGATAAAATGAAATCTCCACCTACAGAATTGACATGACAACCAAGGCCTTACATACCATACACCCAAGCAACTCACCAAAGCTTTGAACTTTCCTCAGTAGAAAGAAAAAAAAAAAA